TTGTTAGGTTACATGAAGATGTAGTTTGTCATGTATATGATTATTTGAAAACTGAAAACTTCATTCTTTATGACTTGGAGAACTGGCTAATTCCTATGTGAATAATAGCTGAGTGTGGGCTTTTTCATAAGGATTCTGAGTTTTTACTTACTGTGCCAGGGATGAGGATGAGCTTCCAGCCCCTGGCAGGTGGAGCTCATCAGGATTTTTCTTAAGAGTTAGCTCCAGGTTAACCTGTCTCATGATTGCCAGAAACTTTCCTCATGATCTGCATTCTAAGGAGTTAAACTAACTCACAAGACTCCCCCTGCTCTTTCTCTTCCAGCTCACTTTAGGGAAACCCCCTCTTTGGATACCTTTCTGCTAGGCAATCTGAGGTTAGAACAGCTAATTAGGGAAGTTGCAAGAAGTCTCCTCAAACCAGGAGCAGTCACATAGAAGGGGTAGGGGAAGAGCAGAGGAGAAAGACTAGATGCAATATTACTACCTCCTTTCCTATCAGCAACATCTGGCCTGACAACCCACCGAGGCCTGGGAGTGGCCTAGGTTCAGCAAGAGGATGTTGGGAGATGACAGCACAGATGTGAGAGCAGGTTGACTGAGCAGATGTAGGGTAGAATTGAGGAGAGGTGGGATATAGGGATAGAACTGACTGAGAAGCAGAACTGGTATGAGGACTTTGGGGTGCATTGAACGGTTGTGGCAAAGAGAATTGTTATGGGGCCTTGGGAGCCAGAATTGTTTTAGAGGTTAAGAGACAGAATTCGATATTGGGCAGGGAGACAGGCAAATGTAGAGATGAGAATTCCTGCAGCACAGGCTAAAAGGACTATATTTGGGAGATTTGGTAACATTAATTTTGACACATACATATCCTAACAACCCTCCCCACAGCATCATTTCAAAAACAAAAAACAGACAAAAATTAAGGATGACATGTTTTTAAGTATGTTATAACTGCATCTCTTAGCAGTTATAACTGGCCAATCTCTTCTATTTTGGTGATATGCCTCTTGATTCAGGGCATTGCCAATATTACTATCCATGTCATCCACAACCAACTTTTTTGGTTCAACAGCTAAGCTAGTAATCACTTGGGCAGTGGAGAAAGTCCAAAAGAAAACTGATATGGAGTCAAGAGTAGCAAACATCTGGAGAGTGGGCCAGCAGGTGGGATAGAGGTGCAACTGGGAGGTGAGATGAAACTGGGCCATGACAGACATGTAGCAGTGTTTTCTGGGAGAGTTAGTTGGGAGGCGCTTCATTTGGTAATGGAAAAGGGGCAGCAACTGGAGAACAAATGGAGGGGGAAAGTTGAGGATGCTTATTACTTCCTTTTCGTCATGTGATGTAGAACACTAAGGATGAGGGGGTTGTGGTTGACATGCTAAATGTGCTGTACTCAAATTCCTTTTAATTGTGAATTCACTGCTCATTATTGGTTCCTTTAGCATGCTGAAATTAAAATCAAGATTTTTTTAGTGTAATGGTTCTCTACAGAAATATTGACAGTTGTTTGCTCATCAAGAGTTAATACAAACAAATATACTCAAATCAGCAAAATCTACTGAACACAAAGTGCTGTCCAATATACAGCGTAAATTGGAAACTGAAACATTTGTCTCCTATCTCTTTTAGTTGTAATCTGAGGTGTCACTTGCTAAAAAATTATATTTGTGATTTTAAATGGGATTCTGTAGATTTGGTTAGGAAAGAAATGCTAATCAAGTGTCTTTTGCTTTAATACAAGACACACATGGGATAAATAAGAAAATCAATTTTCATGCAAATGACAGCTTATAGGTATGGGTAGAAACCTTACTTTTATATGCTTCCTCTTCTGGCAAAAATACTACCTTCCCAGAACACATCTAATGATCCTTCCACATCTAGAGTGATGCCACTGTGAAGAAAGAGGAGGGGAGGCGAGGAACACTGCACAGGCCCCAGCTAGTAGAGAATATTGGGGTTTAGGCCATGATGTAATGAGGAAGACTCGTGACTGCAGTGCTAATGCAGTCCTTGCGTGTAGGTGAGATGGGAAGAAGAATGTGAATCCTGTTGGGAGTTTAGACACCTAAACAACTTGCGCTGTCAGGAGAGACTGAATTAGGAAGCTGTGGGACCAAAGCAGAGGCTCTTGGGCATGTGTCTCAGATGGCGGGGTAACTAATATGGAGGGAGGAGATGTGCCATAATAAAGACCCCAGCGTGCAGGCCTGTAGTGGTTTACATCCCTTTCTCTGCTTGTTTATCTTTGGAAAAATGGAAATACATTAGTTGGGAAAGATAGGTTTGTTTTAACCAGTTGCCAGTCACAGGCTCCTGTCAGAAAGAAGGCCACAATTACAGCTGAGCCTGCAGGGCTACCACGCCATGCATTCAGTCTAAAGATAATAAAGCTCTAACGCCTCTCTTTGCTGTACAAGAGGGGAAGAGGAGAAGGGAAACACATCACCTGTGAGATGTCTTTGTGAGGGAATGCAAGGGTACAACCCACCTTGTGTAACTGTGGCATTATGGTGCATATAAGAGGTGTTGTAGATGGAAATCCAGTCTAAATTGGAGTGAACCATGGAATTTCACTCTGGGAAAGAGGCCTATTGCTTTCCCTAGGAGAGAGGCTGAGGGAACCCCACCTTTCCTGGCATAGCTCACTCCTGAGCTATTGCATATGATTGGAGCTCAGTTTGCTCTCTTGTTCTGCTAGTAAGAGCAGAACTATCCTATTTTCTCAATGACTGGGGCTCTACCCAACTATTTTGAAATAGATCTTGCATGCCAAATACTTTTCTCCATTGAGAACACCTACACATGATTCACAAAATAAACTAAGAGATTTCAAATAGGAATCCACAGTGTCAAAAACATTCTGACCTATTGTGGTCTTTCTGAATTCTTTGCTACAGAAAATCTGCTCTATTATTTTTCCATGGTAAAAAAAATTAGTAAAACTTCAGAGCTAGCATTTTCTAAGGGGTGCTTTAAGTCTAATGAGCAGTGCCTTGAGTCCAAAAATTCGGGAACCACTGCTCTAGTGGTATCAGTGAAATTGCATTGACATAAAACTGGAGTACAGGTTGGAATTTTTAAAAAGTAATGTGTGCGCTTTGCAAACTTTTCTCTCATTCCTAGTCCCAGGATGGACAGGCATGCTGCATGTGCTATCAGTCACCTGTAATTCTCAGGTGAAATGTCTTGTTTACCTTGATTTGACTGTTCATGAGGTCAGTTCCCTGTTTGCCCTTGAATGTTCAGAAGCTGCAACTCATTCCTTTCTCTCTCCAAATCTGTACTTGTCTCCACGTTGATGAACTGTTATTTCTGTTAACTGTCTATGACAGGCATCAGCAGTATATGGCCTGAAGACCTGCAGAGCTATTGGATCTAGCCCGCAGCACTAGGGGAGCTTTGTCTGTGCCTTGCTGCACTGCAGCTGGGTGGGTGGGCAGTGGGGAAAAGTGACACTGGTGGCATAGGCCCAGATCAGGAGCACGAGCCCACCACGGACATGAGCTAGATAGATCTGGCTCATCACTTGAAAAGCTTGCCTAGCGTCTTAGATTCTTTTGGTGTGTCCAGATGAGCATGGTCTTGCGGTATGTGGTGCTGCAAACACATTTCTCCATGCTGTAAGGGTGCACTGTCTGAGCATGCACCGCACCCCGGATATCCAAGGGTCAAAAAAACCTGCAGAAAATAAAATGGAGCAATGCACGCTCAGTCAGTGCGTGCTGCTGAAAAGCGGAGCCGGGCCACCTGGAGCCACGCTCCACTGCCAGCCAGGCTTCATGCGGCAGAATCGCCACAGCTACAGCCCTGGGAGGTCCCCAGGGCCACAGGTAAGGCTGCTAGGACCAGCCCAGTGCTGGCCCCAGCCTACCCTACCCCACCCAGGCCAATTTGCCATGTGCCAAAGCATGTATGGCACAGGCATTCCCCGAGGACAAGTAGCAGTGGCAAAAGGTGCACCGCCGCTATTTGTCCCCAGGGAATCAAACGTCCGTGCACATCTGGATGTGCTCTTTGGGTTTATCAACCTCTATAAAACTTTCACTTATTAATCATTTAGGAAGTATTAATCCTTTCTGCTTGGCTGGCTACTTCTAATACCCATTGACTGGCTAAGTATCTGTCACTTTAGTAATAGGTCTTCATTATATCAACCTATTCTCTGGACACTTTATCATTCTGCTTTCTGCCTTCACTAAGATGTCCCTTAACTCATTAATAGGACACAACAATAGTAAAAAGTAAACTCATTTAATAATACAAGGGCAAGGTCATGTACTTAAGGACTAACAAGAATTTCTGTTATAAATAGACAGCTCAAGAATGTGGAACCATTAAAACATAGAACTGGATTGGAAGGTGCTTCCTCAGCCATGAAGTCCAGTCCTCTCCTTTTACAGACAATTCTTATTCAAAGGAGTCCCTAAAATCACTACGTCAAACCTTCACCCTTAACTATAGGAGAGGAGAAAGACTGAAGTATATTAGTTGAGGACAGGATGACTACGAGCCCTCAGTGTCATGCAGCCATGAAGATGGCCAATATGATCCTAGGATGTGTTGGGCAAGGTATTTCCAGTAGAAATAGGGAAGTATTAATGCCATTGTGAGCCCTCATCTGGATTAGTGTATATAATTCTGGTCAACCCTTTTGAAGAAAAATTCATTCAAATAACCAGCAGCAGAGGACCGTGAGGAAGGATGATCAGGAAAATGGAAAGCCTAAGCCTATCTTATGAGATGACACTAAAAGAGCTTAGTTGCTTGAAAACTGAAAAAGATAGATTTTTGTAGATTTTTTCCAAATCTTACTGTAAATATATTAAGGGGGTAAACATGAGTGAGGGAAAGAACAGAACTACTTTAACAGAAGGAAAAGTTTTAGTGGTGGCTTAAGGACAAAAGGTTATAACTTAGCTATGAATAAATACAGGCTAAATATTAAAAGTTTCCTAGCAGAAGAGTAAGTTTTTAAAGTAGCTTTCCTGATGGAGTAGTGGGGGCAAAAACCCTAATTAGTTTTAAGATGGGCCTTGATCAATCTGCAAAAGGGATTATATAAATGGTTTCCTACAGTTACAGGAAACTTGGCCTATTTTTCAGGATGCCCACCCAGCTCTATGTTTGTTACATTACATTGCACCTCCAAATGAACCATGGAAGTTCTGTACTGGCTGTTAATAAAATCATGGGTCACTTCATCTTAATTCATCTTAATACAACACTGATACCTGAAAGATCAGTTATATTTGTCCTTCTCTGTGGAAGCCTGTGGATAAATTAAGTCAGGGGGATAGGTACTCTGTTTCCAAGTGGAATTTGCAACCTCAGAATGCAAGCCAAGGAGAGTTAGGCAGCTAAGAATGGAGTTCACATAAGATGGTGTGTTGAGTAAGGAGCTGCCCAAACTATGCAGTAAGAAGTGTTGGTGAGAGAGAAGGAGGTTGAGCACCTATATCCCTGAGAAGTGTAGGGCTTCTCCCCATTTGGGACTGGCAATCCTGAGCCTTCTCCTACATAAAGGCAGATAAGCTCTTCTTGAAGAAACTGTGGAGGGACTGGTCCTGTTTAAATAATGAAAATGAAGGTCTTTCTTCATTTACTACTTTTACTTTTTTACTTCTTTCTTCTTTTACTTTTTATCCCTTTTTACTCTAACCCCTGGTTAGAGCACTAATCCAGGGTTCAGGTAGACAGAAATGTGGGAGACTATTCCACCCTTATGCCCAGAGCCTTGTAGTCAGTTTTGATTTGATCAGGTCCCTCTGACAGTATCATTAGAGCCAACAACGATGAGCAGCATGAGTTAGTAGTTTGAGGCCCAGATGTGTCTCTGCAATCTTTCTGTAACATCTTAAGTTTGGGCCCATGAGATGACAGGTCCAGTGAGCAGATGGGGTGGCTCTTTCCACTGCAGAACAGAGTTGCCAAGCACAATATTGAGAGAATACTGTGTAAAAGGAGCAAAGTAATGCTACTTTTTACTTGCACTCTTTCTGGTCCTTTATGGGTGTGTCTACACATTGTTGTATGGCAATGTTGCTACAGCACCATTTTTTAGCACTTCTTTTTGGAAGTACCAAAACATGGCACAGTATGGCCACTTACTGTGCTGTGCATGTGGCTTATAATTAGATTTCACCACTACATCGCCATAGTGGCACGCTATATCAGGGGAGCGTGCCGCCACGGTGATGTGGCTGCCAATCACATGTCGACCCATGTGATCGCTACATCACTGTAGCACACTTGCTGGCAGTGTTGCACATTGCTCTATCACCGTAGGGTGACATGTAGACATGCCCTATATGTTGCTTTTTTTTCTGCATAGTAGTCCAACTAATTTCAGTAGTTTTCTCCAATTTATTTTAAATTCTTAAGTTACATTTTTGTATTTTTTTTCAAATTTATAACAAAAAGGAAAATTGTAAATTAGGACTGTATCTTGGTTCTAAGGACATCCCTCACATCACTTTCATGCACTATACTGATGTCAAAAGAACTTCATGACACTTTTTTGTATTTATATTGAACCAAAACCAGTTTAGGTCAATAGAAAGGAATTGAAATCAGTGGCAATTGAATCCATTGCTTTCAGTTGATTTTAGATTAAGATTTTAAATGGTTATTTTCTCTGAGTATACATGTATGAGTATTTTTAGAGCAGGCTTGTCCAACATGCAGCCCGCCAAGCCGGTTTCTGTGGCCTGCGGGGCTGTGACCGGGAAAGAA